TTTCTTATGAATTTTTTCTGAAACCGTTTCGAAAAAGTGGGCTAATTTTGCGTCTCAACTATGGAGCACATTTTAGAGCTTTCTTGAATCTGAAGTTATATTATACATTTATATATATTTATGCAAAAGCTGCGTTTTTTCGGGAAATTTTAAGTAGTCTTTATTTTAAAACCAGTAAAGAAAGTTCTAAAGTCGGGCGGGGCCGATTTCATGATACCCTAAATCACTTTGCTAATTTAGTTCAGCTCCACATAACAATTAAAAGTTTTTATGGGAGAATTCAATCATACACCCTATGATTATAATTATAATTTAAAATTTAAAGGACTAAATATGCCGAAGCATTTGTATCTCTTAAATTCGGACTTGTACTGCCCATTTGGGCCACAATTAATCAGAAATCGGATAAAGATATATATGGAAGCTATATCCAAATCTGAACCGATCTCGATAAAATTTACCAAATATATTTCTGAGCTACATTTGATATATTTAACCAAATATTGTTGTTATAGGGTGCATATTACGGATGCGGAGGACAAAAATAACAAATCGGATGAACAATATATATGGGAGCTATAGCTATATCTGAACCGATCTTCACCAAATTTGACATACTAGCTTCTAGACTCAATTCGATAGTATGTGCCAAATTCCATCCCATTTGGACAAATATTAGACATTTGGTGCACAATAAAATGTAAATCGGACGAAGTTATATATATGGAAGCTATATCCAAATCTGAACCGATCTCGATAAAATTTACCAAATATATTTCTGAGCTACATTTGATATATTTAACCAAATATTGTTGTTATAGGGTGCATATTACGGATGCGGAGGACAAAAATAACAAATCGGATGAACAATATATATGTGAGCTATAGCCATATCTGAACCGATCTTTACCAAATTTGACATACTAGCTTCTAGACTCAATTCCGTCATAAGTGCAAAATTTCCATTTGGACAAATATTAGACGTTTGGTGCACAATAAAAGGTAAATCGGACAAAGTTATATATGGGAGCTATAGCCAAATCTGAACCGATCTCGATAAAATTTAGCAAAGGTATTTCTGAGCTGCATTTGATAGATTTCCCCAAATATTGTTCTTTAGAGTGCATATTACGGCTGCGGGGGATAAAAATAACAAATCGGATGGACAATATATATGGGAGCTATAGCTATATCTGAACCGATTTCGATCAAATTTGGAATACTTATTTGTATGTGCAAAATTCCATACTATTCGGGCTGATATTACACGAAATACCGAATACCGGGAGTCGCGACATAACGATGAAGAGTGCTCTTTTATTTGAAGTTCCTGTAAATATTTATATAAAATCTGCGATTTTCCCAGTAAATGAACTTAGTCAATTTATGACAATTTTGAGCTGCCTCTGTTAAAAAAAGTGAGAAAAGAGGGAGTAAGGCCCCGTAGAAAGATTTTAGTCATGCAGAACTCGAACTGCCAAACATATGGTAAAATATTTCAGAAAATATAAAAGAGTAAAAATAAGTTAAGTTTGGGCGGGCCGAACTTTTTATGCTTTCCACCATATTTATTCTCACATTTATACTCTAGCTAACATGTCTGTAAATCCCGAAATCCTAGTATTCGAGGGAACTTCTGTAATAAGGAGCATTCAATTTCAAACAATTCTGTAAAAAAGTTTGGTAAAATTATCAAAATACCGAAAATTGGGAGAATGGGGTTTATATAAAACGTTGAGTTACATAGAAATGGTTCTGCTACGGGAATTGAACCCATTACGAAATCCAAATACTGAATTTTAAGTAACTCCGTTAGGAAATGTGTCTAAAATCTTCAAAACGCTGAATATAGGGAATTATACATAGGGCTATTGAAGATCTAGATAATAGTCTGCCACATTAGGATGAAACCGTTATAAACTCTAAATAGCGAATTTAAAAATATAGAAAATATAAGAATATTAGAAAATGTGGTTAAAAACGTAAAAATTCCGAACATCGGGAGTTACAATTATATGGGAGCCATACGAAAACGCGGACCTGTATGGATCATGTTCGGTTACAGGTATAGCAAAGTTATTCTGAATTCGGGTTTCATGGCGAAAAACAATGTTTTCTAATTTCCAAATTCTAAAATATTGTATAGTTTTCGAAATATTGATCTAGACCCACAACGTCATGTACAGGGTGGGATAAAAAAAAAAATTGCCTCAAAGTCAAACGCCATAATTTTTATTTTTTTTTTTTTAAATTTTATTGAATGAAGCAACAAATGTCGGAAATAGCATCAAATTTTAAAATAAGTTTAGATTTGCTCGAATTAGTCACCTTTGACACGAATTATGGCCTCCAAAGGGCCAATGAAACCGCCACACGCTGTCCGAATGTTGTTCTGCGGCATTTTGGCCCATTCTCGCCGAAGCGCTTGCTTGAGGCAATCGACACTTTGTTTTTTTTTTTAATGCCAACCTTTCTCCAGACACAATAGTCCAAGGGATTGGTATCCGGAGATTTTGGTGGCCTTTGTGCGCTGGAAATGAAGCGAGGAAACTGTTATGGCGGCAAACACCATCACCATGTCCGGCGCTTGAGTTCTGGTGACCAACCGAATGTATTAACAGGCTATAAAAACGTTTACAGAGTGTTCTAATGCTAGAGAATTTATATGAGACTCACCCCTCGTGCGCTGGTATTGAGATTTTTTTGGAAAATCGGGTAATATAAGGAAAGATCTTTTCTATGTTCGGACTTCAAAGGTACAAAAATACTAAGACTTTCAAAATTGTTATTGTGCCATCGGTAGAGCTGAACGCTCAAAATTTTGCACAATGGTACTTATTGCTGCAAAAGTATGAAATAAGTGCAGATTTTTAAAAATTCATACTTCAAGGTAACCAAAATTACTAAAAGCAACGAAATGGTACTATATTGTTATCAAACCAAAGTATGGAGGGTATATTAAGTTTGTCATTCCGTTTGTAACACCTCGAAATATAGATTTTAGACCCCACAGAGTATATATTTTCTGAATCAGTATAAAATTCTATGTCGATTTACCGATGTCCGTCCGTCTGTCCATCTATTCGTCAGTGGAAATCACTCTAGCTTCCGAACGAATTGAAGTGGATTGATAAAATTTTACTCAAATGTATATTATGTCTGCAGGACTTTTGGAATTGAAATTGAGTCATGTAGGCCACGTTTTGGTATGGCCCCCATATAACGGAAGCCCAATATTCGGTATTTTGATGATTTTAGCGAAAATATTTATCGGAATTTTTTCAAATTTGGTATTTAAAGATCGTAATGGATTCTACAGCCTAAGACAGAAAATTGTCTGTGCAGGTCCACGTTTTCCAATAGCCCTCATATAAGTTTACTTCCCTGTATTCGGTATTTTGATGATTTTCGAGACATTATTCACCGGAAATGTTTTAACTTTGGTATTTGATGTTCGTAATGGATACTACAGCCTATGACAGGAAAGTAGCTGTGCATGTCCACGTTTTGGTATAGCCCCCATGGTACCTTCCTATATTCAGTATTTTGATGATTTTAGCTACATTATTCACCGACTTACTTTTCAAGTTTAGTATTTGAACATTGTAATGGCTTATGACAAAAGTTGCCTTTGCAGGATCATGTCGTAGTATAGACCCTAATATAACGGCTACATTCGGTATTTTTACGATTTTAACAGAATTTTTGAGGAATTTATTTATTTATTTATTTATTTTTTGTTTGTTTTTAAAAGTTGCCAAATTCGTTCCAAATGGTGGAGGGTTTTCAAAGTTCGGCCCGGCCAACTTTTTTTTCTTGTTTTTAATATTTATGCTTTGGTGGTGTAGATGACGAGGCCATCATATTTTTCCATGAACCATGGTCTATTACAATTATTTTTATACCCTCCACCTTGGAAAGGAGGGTATATTAACTTTGTCATTCCGTTTGTAACATCCTTAAATATTCGTCTTAGACCCCATAAAGTATATATATTCATAATCAGCATAAAATTCTAAGTCGATTTAACGATGTCCGTCTGTCTGTCTGTCCGTCTGTCTGTCTGTTGAAATCACGATACAGCCCACATTATTTGACGTAGGGGGCCAAAATTTAGCAGAGCTATTTGCATTGTGTCTAGGATGGTTGGTATTGAAAATGAGATATATCGGTATAGTCCCCATAAAACGGTACCTTCCGATATTCGGTATTTTGATGATTTATGCCACATTTTTCACGGATTTGTCTGAAAATTGGTATTTGTAGGTCATAACGGGTCCCTGAGCGTGTGGCAAAACATTGCATGTATAGGTCCACGTTGTGGTATAGCCCCCATATAAAGGTACCTCCCGATATTCGGTATTTTATTTTTTTTGCCACATTTTTTCACGGATTTGTCTAAAAATTTGTATTTGTTGGTCATAATGGGTTCCAGCTTCGGTGGCGAAATATTGCATGCATGGGTCCATGATTTGATATAGCCCCCATATAACGGTACCTCCCGATATTCGGTATTTTGATTGTTTTTGCCACATTTTTTCACTGATTTGTCTAAAAATTGGTATTTGTGGGTCATAATGGGTTCTAGTTCGTGTGGCAAAACATTGTAATTATAGGTCCACCTTTTGGTGTAGCCCCTATATAACGGCACCTCCCTATATTTGGAATTTTAATGGTTTTTGCCACATTTCTTCTGATGTTTCTTTTACCCTAAGGTGGAGGGTATTAAAAGTTTGGCCCGGCCGAAATTAATGTTTTTTTACTTGTTTAAGAGAGCAATTTTTTTTAAAGTTCCTTGGACCAGCTGATGGTGTGTTTTTTTTTTTTAAATTGTAATGTATACTTAATTTAAAATTTAATAGAAATAATTAACTTAACGAAATTGAAATTGTTAATGAATATATTTATTTCTTGAAATTTATATTAATTATAATAAAATTTAAATTCGTGTCAATTTCCAAATGATTATTTGACCCTTTTCTCCCTCTTCTTCTTTTCAGATTCACCAAAAACATATTGGGGATTTTTTTACCGCAACTGCAAATACATTATTTAATATTTTAAAATAAACATTTGCATACAAAAAACAAATACAAATTTTTTCCAAATGCAAACTGCAATGAGCAACAACAACAAAAAAATATTAAACGAAACTCAAATACAATAACTAAACAAAAGGAGTTAAACAAACAACATAAAATCCTTCAGGCAACAAACATAACAACAACCACAACTTCATTTCGAATCCCACAGCATTCATTCACACAGCGCGTTCTGTAAATATGGAAATGGCAAGCGAACAAATTCAACGAAAACAAATTTAATTAAAACAAAAAATTAAAAATTAATAACAATAAATTATCAAACAATACAAAGGCCACAAAACAAACACACACACACACCCATAAAAATAATAATAATAATATTTTTCTAATAAAATAAAAAAGAAAAAAAAACTCTGAATAAAAAAATTCCATAAATTTAGTCTGTGATTAAACTGAATTCGAATTAAAATTTAATTAAACATATTGAAAATAATAATAATACAAGAAAAAAAGGATTTAAAAAAATAATAACAATACAACTAAAACTCAATATATTGGACAAAAAAAAAACAAATTGAAAAAAATTTAGTAAAATCTATTAAAAAATTAATAACTATATACAGATTTATAAATAACAAAAAAAGGAGAAACTATACATTACCAAAAATAAAAATAATAAATAAATAAAAAAACTAGTTTAAATTTAAACAAAAATTAAAAGCTTTAAATACAACATTAAAAAAATATTATTTATTTAATATTAAAAATATTAAAGAAAAAAATTATACTAAACCAAAATAAATTCTTCCATTATTATTTAAATAAATTTAAAAAAAAAACAAAAACAAAATATATACATACATATAAAAATAAGCCAAGTTATATGAAAAGAAGGAACATACGATTTCATAAAAAAACAAGAACAACAACTAACCAATAATCTAACGCACTAACTTATATTAAAAACAAAAACAAAAAAAACAACAACAAAAATATATTCTTTTTTTATAAACCAAAAACAAAAATTCCCAAAAATTAAATCCACTAATCAACGAAGTAACTAAAGGAGGAAACATTTTAGTTAAATAATTAAAAACAAAAAAAATAAAAATATATATTTATTTTTCCAAGAAAAGCTTTAAGCCTTACCGAAAAAAATCAACCAGAAAAAAAACATAACAACTATTAAAAAAATAAAAAAATTCTAGTTATTCCGAATAATGCAACAAAACCAAAGCATCAAAAAATATACGTAATTAACCAAGAGAAAAGAGCAACCCCTCTCTCCATTTGCCATTTGCAAAAAAAACAGAAATCCACAAAATATAATTTACTTCTCAAATTACATCACACACGCATACATACCCACATACATGTATATGAAACCGAGTCCAACAAAATGTCCCTAACAACTACAACAACCAGAACAATAATAATAATATTTGGCTGATAGTTAAACAAAAAATTATCATCAGTTATTGAGAAGTGTAGAGAGATAGAAAAACAAATCATAAATTAAACCATACCAAAACAACAACAACAACTACATTCCATTTATAGATTTTGGAATAATAGAAAATACAAATAACAGCAACAACAAAAACACACACATTACATTAATCCTGAAGACATACTGATCAGCAGTAGCAGCAGCATCATTTCGATTCGCCAAAATGGATGACATGCCAGATTTGTCACATCTCACGCCTCACGAACGCATGCAAATCGAAAACGTTCTGAGGCGCCAGAAACAGGAGGAGGAACAGCAAAATGAAATTATGCGGTGAGTAAGATTTAAACTATGAAATAATTCGGAAGAAATATTGCACAATGACAATGACGCCATTGGGGAGATCGTAAAGTATGTTTCAATATCTTATACAAAATGAGGCATAACATTTTTTTGCAGAAGCAATTCGAAACATTTTAGTTGAAATTCCTTATATTTCATTAAATTCCAAATTATTACAATTTTCGAAGGATTTTCATTATACCCTACACCACAAGGTGGTCAGGGTATTATGTCTTTGTGCATTTGTTTGTAACAGCAGAAGGAAACGAGATAGACCCATAGTTCCTTTTGATGATCTGCATAGAATCACATTCTGAGTCGATTTATGCATGTCCGTCTGTCCGTCCGTCCATGTATTTTTGTGAACAAAGTACAGGTCGCATTTATTGCCCGATCCAGATGAAATTTTGCAAAGATCTTTTGTTTGGCCCTAGGACGAACCCTATTGAAATTGGAGATAATCGGTCAAAATTTAGATATAGCTCCCATATATATCTTCGTCCGATTTGACTTTTATTGTGCACCAAACATGTAACATCAGCCCGAATTGTATGGAATTTTGCATATACACCCAAATTAGGCCTGAAAATATGTATGCCAAATTTGATCAAAATCGGTTCAGATATAGCTATAGCTCCCATATATATTGTTCATCCGATTTGTTATTTTTGTCCACCGCCGCCGTAATATGCACTATGCAACAACAATATTTGGGGAAATATATCAAATACAGCTCAGAAATAAATTTGCTAAATTTTATCGAGATCGGTTCAGATTTGGATATAGCTCCCATATATAACTTCGTCCGATTTACCTTTTATTGTGCATCAAACATCTAATATTTGTCCAAATGGGATGGAATTTGGCACTTACGACCGAATTGAATCTAGACTCTAGTATGTCAAATTTGGTGAAGATCGGTTCAGATATAGCTATAGCTTCCATATATATTATTCATCCGATTTGTTATATTTGTTACCCATATTAAATTATAATTTTAATCATAGCGTGTATGATTGAATTCTCCCATAAAAATTTTTAATTGTTATGCGGAGCTCTACTTAATTAGCAAAGTGGTGTAGGGTATCATAAAGCCGGCCCCGTCCGACTTTAAGACTTTTTTTTACTGGTTTTATATGTCTTATCATACCCTCAGCCATATGGCTACAGAGGGTATATATCATTTGATACGGCAAAAAAGTGCCTCATAGAAATAACGATTTTATACCCAGGCCTCTTTGGGCCGAACCAGTTTCAAGACATTTGGAGACGATCTAGTGATGTACGTCTGTCCGTCCATCCCTGTGGCTGGCTGGTGCGAAGGGAATATTCGATTTGGCATTGGCATTCGATTTGGAAGCATGGGGTATCGTAATATTATTGTCAAAGTAAAATTGAGATTGGAAATGGGCAATATCGAGCAGGGCAACAAACGGTCGATATTTTCAAAAAAATATTTGCTAATAGAACTTGAGTGGAACTTAGTGTTCGCATATGCTTAATCGCAATAACATCTTAATAAATACTTCTTTCCAGAGAACGGCCCTTGTAAGCCATCATTCACATCAATGCCTGATGAGCCGATTAACCACTTTCACTGCAAATTTCAGACCATCCAGTCTCGAAATAGGAATAAACACATAAACATAAACATATGATCTTCGCCTTAACAAGGCAAAACTCAAAAAAAAAAAAAAACAAAAGAATAGGGAAGGATAATCCGATTTCACTCCAACTTTGCAAATCCTCATATATTTGCATCAGTGCTAGTTCAGGGAGGAAAATCGACAATATCCATCAAGTACCTCCCCCACAAGGGTCAACATTTTTAATAATTATAACTCTTGTAAAATGTGATGTAACAGGCCGCTTTGCTTCAAATTACACACACCACAACATTTTGATCAAACCAAATTCTGGTTTGAAGATGGAATATATGGGTCCACTTCTTCTGGTACCTCCCCTACAACATTTTCAATATCCACTAGGCTCATAAAACACAAAACTAACATTCGATTCCATTCAAACTTGGCAAATCTCAATATTTCCATCAACGCTAGATCTGGTATAAAGATGGTAAAGGTGGGACCGTTACCTCTGGTACCTCTCCCACAAAGGCTCAAAATTTAAAATAACCAAAACGATAAAAAAACCGAAATAAGCACTAGTTTCTTTTCATATTTTACACACACCATTATTTCTACTAACACAAAATCTGCTGTGATGATGGGATGAATCGGTCTACTCCTTCTGGTAAATCCACCACAAAGAGTCAAAATTTTGAATATCCCTAAAGCTCATAAAACGTGAAATAAACATCCGATTCCATTCAGACTTGCCACATCACAATATTTCCATCAACACAAGATCCCTTATAAAGATGATAGAGATCGGACCATTTCTTCTGGTACATCCCCCCATTAAGTGTTCAAGATTTTACAAAACAAAACGATCAAATAAATCAAAATAAGCGTCCAACTCTCTTCAAATTTTACACATACACACATTTTTGCTAACACAAGATCTGTTATCAGGGGTTCAGGGGTTATATCTATATAATAGATTTTGTTGTGCCCGAATTTTGTATAATTACCCCCCTCCAAAGTCGGAAAAGGGCGCATTGTGGGAGTACATAGAAATATACCAAATTATGCTACAATATGTGCATTTATCTTTTTCGTGTATCCCGATTCTCTTCAGTACATCAAAATAAAGTTTTTCTAAATTGTATGTTTCTTTTAAGTAGTCAGCCTCCGGCAGTGCTTGAGATTTTTTCTTCTGAGTACCGTCTTTGCGAAAAAAGTTTCTTCAAATTGATTTGATTTTTTTTTTTATTGTGAATCCTTCTACAGTGGCTTGAGATTTTCTTCTTGGGGAGTGCTCAACACCGGCTAAGCCAACTAAAGTTTTTCTAAATTTTATACTTTTTTTAATTAGCCAGCCTCCAGCAAGGTTTGAGATTTCTCTTCTGAGTATGTTTAACACCGTCTTCGCGAAACAATGTTTTTCTAAATTTGATGCTATTTCAGTGTTCTGAACAGAATCGATTCAAACGGATTCAAGGACCAATATCTATGTATCCAAGAAATGGCAATATTTAAGTAGTTCTGGCCATTTTAAAATACCCTATTCTCCTCCTTAAATATCTGAATGAAAAATATGCTAAAAATTCCAAAATGTCAATATTTAAGGAGTTATGACCATTTCAAAATATTCTATTTATCCTCTTCAAAAGTCTCAATGAAAAAATATGCTAACAACTCCGAAATGTCAATATTTAAGGAGTTATGGCCATTTTAAAATACCCTATTCTCCTCCTTAAATATCTGAAGGAAAAAATGCCGAAATATCAATATTTAAGGAGTTATGAGCATTTTAAAACAGGCTATAAAGAAACTTCAATCAAAACGATGCTAAAAACGCCGAAATGTCAATATTTAAGGAGTTATGGTCATTTTAAAATACCCAATTTTTCCACCTTTAGTATCTGAATGAAAAAATATGCTCAAAACCCCGAAAGTCTATATTTAAGGAGTTATGGTCATTTTAAAATACCCTATTTTTTCCCTTTAAAAATCTCAATGAAAAAATATAAGAACCCCAAAAATGTCAAAATTTAGGGAATTATGGCCATTTTAGAAAATGTACCTCCCCAAAAAGGGTCAAAATTTTTTATAATTATTACTCTCGTAAAATTTTTTCAACAGACGATCTGGTATGAAGAATGGATAATCATAGATTTGGATTTAAAAAAAAAATAATATTTAATGTCAATATATTTTTATACTCTCCGCCATTCTATGGAGGGTATATTCCGTTTATAACTTCTCGAAAGATCCAAGATAGGCCCTATAAAGAATATATATATTCTCGATCAGCGTAAAATTCTAAGACGATTTGGCGATGTCCGTCGGTCTGTGTGTGTGCCTGTCTATACGTCTGTATGTCTGTTGTCAAAACGCTATCTTTTGAACGAATTGAGATAGAAGGCTAACATTTTAAACACATGTGTATTTTTCCAGTACGCAGGTGAAGGTCGTAAATGGGTCATGTCTGTCCACGATTCCAAATTCGGTATTTTTATGATTTTAGCGACATTATTCACCCGAATTTTTTTAATTTCGTATTCGAAGTTTGTAATGGGTATTACAGTCTATGCCTAAAAATTTCGTATACACGTCCTCGTCTTTGTATAGCCCCCTATGGAACGGTACATCTCGATGTTCGGCATTTTGATGATTTTAGCTACATTACTCACCCAAATTTTTACAAATTTCGTATTCGATGTTTGGTATGGGTACCACAGTCCATGCCACGTCTTCGTATAGCCCCTATATAACGGTACTTCCCGATATTCGGTATTTTGATGATTTTAGCGACTTTTGATGATTTTAGCGACTTAATTCACCAGAATTGTTTCGAATTTCGTATTCGATGTTTGTAATGTGTACTACAGCCTCCCGACGCTCGATAGTTTGATGATTTTAGCGATATTATTCACAGGAATTGTTTTCAAATTTCGTATTTGGGTACTACAGCCTTTGGCAAATAATTACTTATGCAGGTCCACGTCTTCGTGTAGACCCCATATAAAGGTAGAACGGTATTTTTAGTATTTTTTTAATAGTTCAAGTTCCTTCCTAATGGTGGAGAATATTAAAAATTCAGCCCGGCCGAACTTAGTTGCTTTTTTACTTGTTAAAAAAAGTATTTCTATATATATTTTTATTCCGATCAATATATTTTAATGGTTTTTTTCTATAAATTTTATTGTTGTTAGTAATTTAATAATTAGTGGGTTTCCTGTTTAATATTTTTAAGGCATCGCCATAACCATGTTTCAGTTATATTTTCAATGATTTCAAAAAATTGATTTATTTGCTTTATTTTCTAGGACCTGCCATAATTCATGGCCATGAATTTTTAAAAAAATATTTTTTCTAGGCTTTGTCCGCAATTTTTTGGTTCAGCAGTCTTAGTTTTTTTGACAATTTTATATATTTATTTTATTTAATTTTTTAAAAATTTATTTTTTTTATTTTCAGACGAAAACAAGATGAGGTCATGTCACTGGAAATGCAAATCCGACAGCGTTCCGAACAGCAAAAGAAAGCTGGCATCGAACTTGAGGCAACGTGTCATATTTGTCTGAAGACTAAGTTTGCTGATGGTGTTGGACATATCTGTCACTACTGCAATACCCGATGCTGTGCCCGTTGTGGTGGCAAAGTGACACTGCGCAGCAATAAGGTAAGTACGACATGAAACAAACTAACAGCAGATTTGACTATGGGAAAAGTTTGATGACACTAATGGGTTGATGGTTTCATTGAAAAAAAAAAAAAAAAAAAAAAAAAAAAAAATCGGGGAAAAGTGATGTAAACCTCAACTATTTTAATAGGATATAGTACCTCTCATATCACACAAATGTTCGCTGTTCTCATTAATAGCTTATTACTTATATTTTTAAGGTCTTTTCAAAATAATTATTTATCTTTCGATGTTTTCTGCCATTGAGTCTTGTCGTTGGCAAGAAAATGAGTTGTCCTTCGCCAGGACTTATGTGTAATAGTAGGTTTTTCGCCTTCTGAGATGGAGATGGAACATAAAATTATATGTTGGATTTTTTTGCCCTGCATTTACTGTGCGTGCGGGTGTGTGTGTGGTTGCTTGTGCCTCAATTATGCCCGATGTGGGCTAGTCTCTGTGTTGTGTGTTGTTTTAAAATAACCTTCAGGATATTTTTTCTGTGTGCCATTGTTGTTTACAACAGAACACAAAAAAGACATTCGAACTTACTTGCCTGCCCACTTACAATATGCATATCTATATATACATACACATCCATACATTAAGAATACGTTTGTGTGTGTGCGTTCTATTTTGTATAGAAATAAATAAGGCTAAGAGTAACCGAAAGAAGGCCCAGCAACAGCAATGCCAAGAAATTCCACAATAGAGATAATTGGAGAAGATAAAGTTACGCAGTTAACAATTTTTCAAAATAGCCCAACACCCGGAATAAAAACAAAAACAAAACCAAAAAAATGTAGCAGCACACACACACAGCAGCCACAAACAAAACTGGTAATCATACCAGGGTATCTCGAGGATTTGCCCGAGTCTCGAGATAGGATATTTGGCGTCAACTCGAACATATTTCAAATTTTTGTTCAGTGCGTACAAGTCACATGCCAGAGAAATCAGTATTTGGCTTAAGTGCCTGCCCACCATACATACACACATACATATTTTCAATTTACATAACAAATAGATATATTACTGGGTTAGATTGTTTTTGTTGTAATTACTTTAAATCTTGAATTTTTTGGGTGAAAATAACAGCTCGAATGAAGAGTTGAAAAAAAAAAATTCGGAAATACTCAATAGTGAAGAGCAGTGAAATAACTGACTGAGAGACTGACCAAGAATTAACGTCCAGACGAAATGGGTAACGGTAGAATCTTGAAATTTTGCACAAAGGTCAGAAATGGTGTGTGAGTAAGGCGTGTTATAAGCTTTTTGGTGTTTTTGGAAATTTTTACTAAAAGGGTAGGAAGAGTACTAAAATGTACTAAAAATGGATTCCCTTGTATTGGACAAAAAGTAAAAAAGCTTCAAGTTCGACCGGGCCGAACTTTGAACACCCTCCACCATTTGGCAACACGAATTTGGCAATTCTCAAAAACAATAAAATCCGTTAAAAATTCTGCTAAAATCTTAAAAAATGCCTAAAGTAGCTGTTATTTTAGGGTCTATACGACGACATGGACCTACATAGGTAACTTTTGTCATAAGACATTACAATATTTATATGCGAAACTTAAAAAAAATCGGTGAATAATCATCAAAATACAAATTCTGCCTTAGGCTGTAGTATCCATTACGAACTTCAAATATCAAATTTCAAACAATTCCGGTGAATAATGTCGCTAAAATAATCAAAATACCGAATATAGGTTGAGATACTGTTATATGGAGGCTCTACGAAGTCGTGGACCTGCACAGAACATTTTTTGTCTTAGGCTGTAGTATCCATTACGAACTTCAAATACCAAATTTGAAACAATTCCGGTGAATAATGTCGTTAAAATAATCAAAATACCAAATAGGGGGAAATACTGTTATATGGAGGCTCTACGAAGACGTGGACCTGCACAGACAATTTTCTGCCTTAGGCTGTAGTATCCATTTCGAACATCAAAAACCAAATTAGAAACAATTCCGATGAATAATGTCGCTAATAAAAATACCGAATATCGGGAAGTACCGTTTTATGGAGGCTCTACGAAGACGTGGACCTGCACAGACAATTTTCTGCCTTAGGCTGTAGTATTGATTACGAACTTTAAATATCAAACTTGAAACAATTCCGGTGAATAATGTCGCTAAAATAATCAAAATACCGAAAATCGGGAGAGATACCGTTATATGGGGGCTATACGAAGACGTGGACCTGCACAGACAATTTTCTGTCCTAGGCTGTAGTATCCATTAGGAACTTCAAATTCGATGAATATTGTCGCTAAAATCATCAAAATACCGAATATCGGGAGGTACCGTTATATGGGGGCTCTACGAAGACGTGGACCTGTACAGACAATTTTCTGTCTTAGGCTGAAGTATTCATTACGAACTTCAAATACCAAATTTTAAACAATTCCGATAAATAATGTCGCTAAAATCATAAAAATACCGAATATCGGGAGGTACCGTTATATGGGGGCTATACGAAGACGTGGACCTGCACAGACAATTTTCTGTCTTAGGCTGAAGTATTCATTACGAACTTCAAATACCAAATTTGAAATAATTCCGATAAATAATGTCGCTAAAATAATCAAAATACCGAGTAACAGGAGGTACCATTATATGGGGCCTCTACGAAGACATGGACCTGCACAGACAATTTTCTGCCTGAGGCTGTAGTATCCATTACGAACTTCAAATACCAAATTTGAGACAATTCCGATGAATAATGTCGCTAAAATAATCAATTTACCGAATATAGGGGGAGATGCTGTTATATGGTGGCTATACGAAGACGTGGACCTGCACAGACAATTTTCTGTCTTAGGCTGTAGTATTCATTAGGAACTTCATATACCAAATTTGAAACAACTTTGATAAATATTGTCGCTAAAATCATAAAAATACCGAATATCGGGAGGTACCGTTATATGGGGTCTATACCAAAACGTGGGTCTACATGACCCATTTTCAATATCAATATGTCCTGGAGATATAATATACATTTTAGTAAAATTTTATCAATCTACTTCAATTCGTTCGTAAGCTAGAGTGATTTACACAGACGGACTCTGATGCAGTCTAAAATAGATGTACCAAAGCGTTTTTGAAAATCGGAACATTAAGGTTACGAAAAGTTCTAAAATAATACTAAACTTCTAAAATAGTACCATTTGGTGCTATGTGAAGGGATAGAGCTGAAAACTTGAAATTTGGTATCAGAATAAGGGTGGGAAATTACGATTTATATATAAAACTGGTTTTGAAAAGGTGTACTAATTGTGGGAACTGTACCAAACGGTACCAAACTCGGAACATTTTGTGATTTTTGAATTGTGTACCACAAGTGTACGAAAAGTACACTTAATGAAAAACTGCAACCAACAGAGCAGAGCAGACAATTGGGCAGCGTGTGACGGTTTCATTGGCCGCTTGAAGGCCATAATTCGTACCAAAGGTGAACAATTCGAATAAATCTAAACTTATTGTAAAATTTGATGCTATTTCCGACTATAAAATTTAAAAAATACGAAAATTATGGCTTTAGACTTTGTTGCAATTTTTTTTATCTCGCCCTGTAATTGTACGAAAAGTACTAAATATTACTAAATTTGGTGTTGGATGAAGGGTTAGAGCTGGAATCCTTATATTTGATATTGAGGTCACTGTTGGTTTCTAATGTTTAAAGATGGAGACGTTGAAATTGATTTTGAACAGAAAAATTGGATGTGGATCCTTTATATAATGGTACCATAATTGTACGAAAATTACTGATTGGTACTAAATTTGGTCTTGGTAGAAGGAAAAGATAAAAAAAATTCTGAAATTTGATATAGATGTCACTGTTGGTGTCTGGGATTAAGATGTAGAGTTGGTTTTGGAAATATGTACTATAATTGTCCAAAAAGTACTAAATGGTACTAAATTTTGGTAATGGTCAAAGGATTGACTTGGAATCCTCAAATTTAATATTGAACTCTCTGTTGGTATCTGGAATTGAGATATGGAGATGGTTTTGGTAATGTGTACTATAATTGTACGAAAAGTACTTAATAGTACTAAATTTGGTGTTGGGTGAAGGGATAGAAGAGATAAAATTCTGAAATTTGATATTTATACTACCGACAGTATCTGTGTTTAAGATTTGGCAATGGTTGGGAAATGTGTCCTATATTTGAACGAAAAGTACTAAATGGTACTAAATTTGATATTGGCTGAAGGGATAGAGCTGGAACTTTAAAATTTCATAATAAGGTCTTTGTTGGTATCTGGAACTGAGATATGGACTTTGTTTCGGAAATGTGTATTGTAATTGTACGAAATGTACTTAATAGTACCAAATTTTGGTGTTGGGTGAAGGGATATAGATACAATTCTCAAATTTCATATTTAGACTACCGACAGTATCTGTGTTTGGGTTTTGTCAGTGGTTTGGAAATACGTTCTATATATGTACGAATCGTACTAAATGGTACTAAATTTGGTGTTGGGTGAAGTAATGGAGCTGATATTCTGAAATTTGATATTGAGGTTACTGTTGGTTTCTAGGGTTTAAAGATGGAGACGTTGAAATAGATTTAGCACAGAAAAATTGCATGTGGATCCATTGTGCAATGACACTATAATTGTACGAAAAGTACTGAATAGTAATAAATTTGGTCTTGATAGAAGGAACAGAGATAAAAATCTGAAATTTGATATAGATATCACTGTTAGTGTCGTTTGGAAAGTAGTTTGGAAATATGCCCATATATTTGTACGAAAAATACTTAAAAGGTACTTAATTTGGTATTGTCTGAAGGGATGGGGGTAAAATCCTCAAATTTGATCGTGAGATCTCTGTTTGCATCTAAAATTGAGATATGGAGGTGGTACTAAATTTGGTATTGGGTGAAGGAATGGAGCTGAAATACTGAAATTTGATATTGATGTCAGCGTTGGTGTCTGTGGTTAAGATATGGAAGTAGCTTTGGAAATGAGTGCTACAATTGTTCGAAAAG